CAGTGGCTCAGTACTGTTATTAGCTGCTCCACAACAAAACCCCTTCATTTCCCCAAAAGCTCAGCATTTCTGGAATTCTGACAGAACCTGTGGTTACATAAAAAACATGGATTCTGTGCAGGTCAGGTATATTTTTCATCAGGTGACTATCATCTCTGCTCCGAAGCTTTTTATTAAAGAGGTGAACCGTGAACTTCAGGCACATTTCAGTCCAGGAGAACCCGGATCTGCCCGAACCATGACCGAGCGTTTCTAGATTTTGCAGAGAGAATCGTAAATGTTTTAGATTTTGCTCAAATTGTTTTAAATTTGTGTTTTATTTCTGGAAATCCTCCTGTGACGCTCCTGTTCCTCACGACCCTTAGTTTAGGATCCACCGCTTGAATCTGTCATATGAGCAGACGTTTGGTCTCTAAGGTTTGGTGACATGAATGAAGACATCATCTTCACCTCTGTCCATCCAAACTGTCAAATCTATCTTCTTCCATAGTCATTTAACAAGTCATATACTGTGTATATATATATATATATATATATATATATATCTGCTTATCACTTTCCTTTCCGTTTCTTTGAATTCAGTTATTTCCATTTTATTTTGGCCCCTGAGTCTCTCTGTCTCCTCCCTGACCTTCAGAAGGTGCTTGATATCATTTCAGTCCCTTCGTTTTTCCTCCTCTGCAGGAATCTTAAACATTTCCATGGTTTGTCTCCAGCTCTGATCTGGCAGAGAAACGCTGGAAATTACAGAGTTGGATTTTTTCTTCCCAACCAAAAAATCACAGTTTATTGCAATTTGCTTTAATTAGATATATATATATATATGTGTGTGTGTGTGTGTGTGTGTGTGTCCTCTGGGGTCAAACACACTGCTCTGCTTGTAGGAACTGATCTGACTCGATGTGCTAAAGATAAACGCTGTTGAAATCCTGAAGCAGCCAATCAACACAGAGCTAATTACCGACAGCTCTGAGTGAGACGACGGTTTGAGAATCAAAGTCTTTATATAAGTTTATGGAGCTGAAACTCTTTAATTTCGTCCTCTTTTACTTTTCAAGCTTAAAAAAATAGATTCAGTCGTCAGCTCTGTGAAAACAACAGATTCATACTCGACGACAGACGCTGGTTTATTGTTTTTGTTCTGAGCAGCGTGACCTCCTCCAGGATAAGAATGCTTGTAAAAGAACTTTTTAAAACAAAACTATTTACATTTTTTACATTTTGACGTTTCGATTCCGACCATGTCAATCTGCACGAACTACAATTACAGCTATTTTAAAATCAGATGTGCTACAACCCCTCGAGTTTACTCACAACGCAAGTTAATTCCAGACGGCACGGAGAGTGGAGCTGAAAGAACGGATTCATACGATAGTTTTGTACAATCACAACATGTTTACTTCATATGTTCAAGGTGTCAGAGAAGCAAATGTTCAGTCATTCCTGTTACTTGTGTGTTTTGTCCCGTGTTGATATGACAGACGCTCCTGTGGCGTCCATATTTTCTAGCGATGGCAGTTTTGGTGTCTGTCCTTTGGTCCGGGTCGGAAATATTGTCCAAACTACACGAGCACTGCAGCTAATGGTCCGCAGGCTTTTCTTATCAATATCTGCATTTCAGCTGCACTTATATCAAGAAAGATGGCGGACATTCTACTTTTTGAAATGTCCTGTAAATAGAGGTCGTCTGAAATATCACTTTTGTTTTTATTTACAACAAAGAAATGGAATCTGGAAAGAAACCGATCAAGCTGTTTGAATTTAAAATGTGCTGCTGGTGTATTTGAGGCAAAGAGACAGAAACATCCTGAAGCACCTTTAATAGACTGATGAAACTGAAATCTGTACAAAGAAAGTGTTTCTTCTTCACTGCAGTTCCTTCCCTCCCGTGTTTGAACATCAGCTGACGTATGTTTCTGTTTAAGTCCAAACTTAAACCAGTTTCTCTTCAGTGTCCGAGTTTGATTCCAGACACATTTTAAAGTGGAGTCATTAGAACGTTCAGTGAAACCGTCGGCTGACACGACGTAGAGCTGCAGAAGGATGGAGTCGACTGGAAGCAACAGATAGTGAGAATCCTGTTGTGAGTTAAATGCTGAAATAAGATTCATGTTTTTTTGTTTCTTCATAAGTGTGTGTGCGTGTGTGTGTGTGTGTG